CCAACCTACAGGAGGTAAGTCCTCAGTATCTTTAGCTTTTGATATTCTGAGACCATTGGATTGCCTGGTGGATTCACCTCTAGCTGTCAGCAGCAGGAACAGTTATAAATAAACCCCATGCCAGAGAGAGAGGAAGAGGAATGGGTCAAACAGATGTTTCTACATTCTCAAGCTGAGCATCCCTCTCTTCCTGAAAAACATTCTGATAGAAGGACACTTATCTTGAGAGGGACAAAGGAAGCAGGCAAATCAATGAAGCCAGAAGCCTGATGTTGGGTGTAAAGGGTGATTTAACATATCTGGTAGATGAATATACAAATATATGTAGTAAGAGCTACAAACTCATGCCTCAGACTCAATCAGAGAGCTGTACTCACAGTCTAATGCAATATGACAGCTGTGTTGCCTTGCTTGTTAACACGCAGAGCAGCTGAAATAAAGCACTACAAATATGGTGTTTACCAGCTTTGAGATAACATCCTTTTAGTAAATAGATTTTCCAGCTAATCTTATGATTAAAAAAAGATGTGACAACTAAATATCATTGAAGCAGTTCTCTGTATGTTTCTGAAGGACACATGAGACTCCACAGAATAATTTATTGTACGTAGATAATGGAGTCACTGTGAGTTGTGATACAACCAGTGGCAATCATTTACAGTTTAAAACCTTCCTCCAAATATATCTCATATTGACAGTTCAAGCACGGAGAGAGCACCAATTAAATCTTTTTACAGCTTTTAAGTCTGTGGTGAAGACAGACTCCTATCATTTTTAAATTATTTTAAAATTATTATTTAAGCATGGCAAGGTAGTTGCATTGAAATGTATTTATTTCTCAATATATAAAATATATTGTGTTAAGCTGCTTATGTTGCCTAGGCTGATATCTGTCTGTCAGCATTAATGTGACAAACTTCCAAGAGAAGAGTTGTAAGGAACTGTCAGGCTATGTTATAGCCAGCCCAGTCTGGCTGTGCTCAGTCTTCAGAAAGAGTGGAAATATCAGATGTTTCTTAAGCTGTTATGACTACGAAACCTTCAGGGACAATGTGCTCAGCCACTCAGATAGAGAAGAAAATATCTTCAAGAAATATGGATAACAACAGTGTTTATGTTCCTACTCCTCAAACATTCATCTGATACTATTTTTAATTACATGATTATCTAATATCCTCAGAAAATTCAGTTAATGACTCATTAAAGTACAGGACTGAACTTCAATAACTGAAAGAACATTCAAGCTCAACCGAATCTGTAAGGAAACTACTTTCATTTCAAGGCAGGCTCTTAAAGGAGGTTAAATTGAGGTGCCCAGCATCCTTTAATGAAGAGAAATCCACATCCAGCTAGGTTACAGCTCTTTATATCAGATTCAGACGGAACAGCCAGCTATCCTCCAAATCACTTACAGAAACAATAAGGCACTGATGCACAGAGAAAACTGATAGAGAAGCAGGTACTTTGAGATCAAAGTGTTTGTTCAACTCAACTTGCTATCAACCCAAGCTTTAAATGGTTCTCTTGAGGACTTTCTACTTATCTTCAAAACTAAGATTATTCAATTTATCAAAAATTAGGGTAGGAATTTTCTGAGGAAACCTAGTGAGACATTAACTGAATATTCACCAAATTCCATGTACATATCTCATGGAGAGGTTTCAAATATTTTAACTTAAACTACTGCAAATTGAGTACTAATAAATAATGAAACACAGTCCACATCATCAGAAGAAGGCAGAGAATAACAACAGAATTGGTAACATCTTCTAAGAACATAGCAGCTCCAGTTGGAAAGCAAAGATGTTTCAGGGATATTTGTAAAAAAAAATTAAAATAGCAGTACTTGGAGTTCAGTTCTATTATCCACACTCAGCATATGTGTCCTGTCAGGGGAGATTCAAGTTGGATATTAAGAAACATTTCTTCTCAGAAAGAGCAGTGAGGCACTAGCACAGCTGCCAGGGAGGTGATGGTGTTACTGTTCGCTGGAGGTGTTTGAGAACCATGGAGGTGTGGCACTGAAGGACATGGTCAGTGGGCACGGTGGGATAGGTTGGTAGTTGGACACAGTGATCTTAGAGGCCTTTTCCAACCTTAATGGTTCTATGTTGAAGTAACCATCACTGATTTCAGCACACACTGCTCTTGCCATCATGCAGTTCTATTACATTGAAGTATATTCCATAAGCCTGGGTGATTTGGTACAACTGCTTAGGCAAGCCCTATTCATTATTCCACTGGCGTAATAATCCTAAACCTTTCTGGCAGTCCTTAAGTACTACTGGTTACTAAGCAATCACACACATCCACAGATACGCTGGTGTGAGCTTGAAAGTCGATGGCTTATCTCATGAATTATTTTTTTAACCAATGTCTATCTTCTTATGATTTCACACTTATGATATCACACATGATTTTTTGCCTTTGTGATATTACATAGTAGAACACTTTGAAGGTTGTTTTATAAAGCTTTCTTTGAAATAACAAATCTCAGAGCACACAATTTCATCTTAAAATATGAAGAAAGGGAAGGAATCTCTTATACATAGTCAGATTACCCAAATAATTGCACTGAGAGTTTGTAAAAACACATCACGTATTAAGGGACAACAATTAAACCACAATTTGATCACCTCCAGTCAACTTCAATTCAGACATAACTGAAATCAATGGAGCTATACAGAAAAAATGTAACATGTCAAACCCGGATGGGAGTTCAGAAAAGAGCTGACATGGCTCAGCTAAACCTTGCTTCAGAGCAGTTCAGAATGGAGTAAAACTGACTAGGTAATTACAGTGTGCTTTAATGAAGAACTACAAAAAGCTAGGGACATAAACCTTGTGCATAGTTTAAATTCTGTTCATATCAACAAATTTGTGTTTTCTTCCTTGACAGACAACAGTGAAACAATGTTATCATGTGTACCAAAAGCCTAAAGGAGTTTCTGTAATTCATTTTCAACACCTTCCAATACTCTGACCAGCTTCACTCTGACTGTCCTGAAGAGCATAAGGAAAGAAAAAGAGATACTTCAATTTAAAAGAAAGGCATCAGAAGAGTATAGTTTCCAAAAATGAACATCCTCATTTTACACTGTTTTGGTTTCACACTTTTTATTGGATTTACTACACCAATATGAATGAAAATTACAATTTTATATAAGCCATCTGACTACCAAGCAAGAAGAAAGGAAAAATATATATATATATTCTGTTTGAGTCACTGTTATTTCATTCCAAAGAACTGCCCAAACTTCGGTCAGATTTGGGCTGGAACAACACAAAGTCGAATGCTTCCATTTGCTTTAGCCCTTTAAAGTAATCTACAAGATGCATACTCAGATTCAGTCTTAGAACCTCGGAAATCATTCAATGTGATGAGATGCTCTGATTAATCAACCATTTATTTTTAGGAACCATGCATTAAAAAAATAATAATTAAAAAGCATTTTAGCAGGTAGCAGGAAATGCTACCTTCATAAACTTGTATCTGAAATATAGCAACTGTTCATTACAAATGTACTACCGTGGAAAAAAAGATGGGTTGCAGTGAAGGAACAGGAGCTTTGTTTCTCAGTAAGATGTTCACAGTGAGATGTTCAAGGTAAAAGAAACTCCTATGACACTAAATTTAAGCTACACATCAGACTACATTTCAGAAGAAGTAAGAAATTGTAACAGTTCTTAGAGGAAAGACAATAAAAATTCCTGTGTTTTGTATGTAGAGGTCGTGTTTAAAAGTTTGTTCCAGCAATGTGTTCAGTCTGTTCTATGACCTTCACAAGCCATGCATTTCAATAGAACTATCTATTTATAACTGTACCAATTCTTGCTCTATTACAGCAGAGCATTGTTTCCCGGTCATTTTCAAATTCAGTCCCTCAATTTTTCAACAAGCACATTAAAAATGAATCTATTGACAAAGCTTTCCTTTCTTAGTTGCCTCTTCTGAACCTCTAAAAACAACAGATTATCCTCCACTGTCTTACAGATTTAAAGTTGATAGGTATTTCACCAAGAGTGCGTTCAAAGTAACTACACTGATTTATGGAAGAATCATAGAATTGTTTGAGTTGGAAGGGACCCTTAAAGGCCATCTGGTCCAACTGCCCTGCAGTGAACAGGGACCTACAGCAGATCAGGTGCTCAGAGCCCTGTCCATCCTGACCTTGGATGTCTCCAGGGATGGAGCATCCATCATCTCTCTGGGCAACCTGAACCAGTGCCTCACCACCCTGATTGTAAAAATCTTCTTCCTTATATCCAACCTAAATCTCCCATCTTTTAGATTGAAACCATTTCCCCTTGTCCTGTCACAATAGACTCTACTAAAAATCCACCCCCTTCTTTCTTAGAGCACTCCTTTAGATATGATTTGCCCCATTTGCTAGATAGACTGTGCATCTTCAGGCAACAACTTCAGTCCAGAAAGAAGACAACTGCTGGAATACGATAACAGACTTCAAACACATGAAAACTATTAAAATGTATTCATAATTATGGAATTTAAAAAAAAAAAAAAAAAGCCAGCAGTTTAGTTTATAGCAAGTGATTGAGTATGGAAACACACTTTTTAATCTCAGTAAGTTTGAAGAATCTATAGACTCACACTTTTGGAAACCTTATGGTTAGAAGAAGCTGAAAGAAGAGCACAGAAGTGAGTAATCACGGCAATTGTACTCCTTTCCTCGCGGAGAGCAGGCGCTGACTGCTACAGATCCTTTCTAGCCTCGCGGCGCTTGGCATCACTGTCACATTTTTTGTCATTTCGTGAATAAGAAAAGCCTTGTAACTGCACCATTAACAGCTCAGAGCAATTCGATCTCAAAGATCACTCCGCGGAGAGAATTCTATTTCTACCTCGACCACGATTACACAAAACTCAGCCAGCAGCTTCACTCTAGTTTGAATAAGAAATTCCGTCTTGGCTAACAGCGAGGGGTTTTTAATCCCACAAACGCCACCGCTTCCAAACGAAACGGTCCCGCGGTACTCACATGCCAGATGGCGAAGAAGATGAGCGCGGCGCAAAGCACGAGCGACAGCATGTAGCAGAAAGCAGCGAAGGTGAAAGCCATGGCGAGGGGAGCCCCGAGCCCCCAGCGGAGAGCCGTGCACCAGCGCCTCCAACACCGGCAGAGGTGGAGTTGCTCGCCTTCAGACACAACCAGGGACGGAATAAAAACCCGTCCGGCCCCGTGGAACCCTCCACCTGCTCTACGAGGGGGAGCGGGAGCGGTCCGGCCCCTCTCGCGCTCTGCCCTCCCCCGTGAGGGCGGTGGAGCCTCCAGCGGGGGGTGGGTTCGGCACCGGTCCCCCCACCGGCGGGGCGGGGTCTTCTGTCACCACCGCGTGTTTCTAAATGAAATGCTGTTTCGACAGCGTGAGGGTGGGCTGGTACCCAGGCTGACTTGGTCCGGATAGTGAATAAAGAACGACTTGTCCAAACTTGAAATACTTTATCCTTTTCACGTTTTCTTTTAGTATGAGGTAAATCTAGCTGCGGCACAGGCTGCCCAGGGAGATGGTGGAGTCACCATCCGTGGAGGCGTTTAATAACTGTGGAGATGTGGCAGTGAGGAACATGGTTAAAGGGCAGTGGGGATGGGTTGGTGATTGGACACAATTTGTTAGAGGTCTTTTCCATCCTTAATGATTTCTCATGATTCTGTGGTGCAAGGAAGGGTGAGATGTGACCCAGTGCCAGAGGCTGCTTGAGAAGGGGAACATGGCCAGAGGAAGGTACTGCCAGGGGTCACCTGGGCAGGCCAGCACCGAGGCTCCATCACTTCCCCTGCAGAGAAGTGGCAGAAACTATCCAGTAGCAAATGAGGCTCAGCAGAACAGCTTCCTTACACCCTCCTTTACACACCATGAAAGGATATCACAGAATCACCAGGGTTGGAAGGGACCTCAAGGGTCACGTATCTCCAACCCCCCTGCCACAGGCAGGGCCACCAACCTCCACATTTAATACTAGACCAAGCTGCCCAGGGCCCCCTCCAGTCTGACCTTGAATACTTTCAGGGACAGGGCATCCACAACCTCTCTGGGCAGCCTGTGCCAGCACCTCACAGCTCTCTGTAAAGAACTTCCCCCTGACATCCAACCTAAATCTTCCCTCCCTCAACTTAAAACCATTTCCTCTTATCCTACAGTTATCTACCCTATCTATCAAAGAGTTGATTCCCCTCCTGTTTGTAGGCTCCCTTTAGGTACTGAAAGGCTGCAATGAGGTCACCCTGCAGCCTTCTTTTCTCCAGGCTGAACAAGCCCAGCTCCCTCAGCCTGTCTTCATAGGGGAGGTGCTCCAGTCCCCTGATCATCTTTGTGGCTCTCCTCTGGACCCTGTCCAACAGCTCCCTGTCTTTTTTGTACTGGGGGCTCCAGACCTACAGTACTGTAGATGGGACCTCACAAGAGCAGAATAGAGGGAGACAATCACTCTTCTCAGGATACCATTTGCTTTCTGAGCTGCAAGGGCACTCTGCTGGCTCACGTTAAGCTTTTCATCTGTTAAGAAACCCAGGTCCTTCTCCACAGGACTGCTCTCAAAGATCACTCCTTCCAGCCTGTATGGATGCCTGGGAGTCCTTCGACCCAAATGCAAAGCTGTGCACTTTACCTTCTTGAACATCATCAGGTTCACCTGAGCCCACCTTTCTAGCCTGTCAAGGTCCCTCTGAATGGCATCCTTTCCTTTAACCGTGTCAACCACTCCACTCAGCTTGGTGTCATCAGCAAACTTGCTGAGGGTGCACTCGATTCTGTCATCAGTGTCATTGATAAAGATGTTAAAGAGCACATATCAGCAGTTAGAGTAAACAAAGAAAAACCCATTGGAGTGACACATTTTGGGAAACCACAGTTTGGGAACCTGACTTGCAAGTATTCATGATATCCAAATTGCTGAATTATATACTTAAAACCAGGAAGGAAAAGTAAGCCCCTTCCTTCTTAGCCCATTACTGCCAGCACCCATGGTGCCTCCAAACATCACTCTGCCACTTCTGCAGGGATTTTTTGCTTTAGATTTGCCATCAAGAGTTCTCCTATAGAGCCACATCAGCTGATAGCACAGCAGCTTTGCAAACAAGCAAAATCAGTACAAAATACTACAGGAACACCAGTGGACTCATTTAAAAATATTCTTTAACAAAACAAGTGTAGAGTCTTGCATCTAGGAAGGATGAAACAATACAGGTTGAAGGGGATGAGCTGCTGGAGAGGAGCTCTGCAGAGAGGGACCCAGGTGCCCTGGTGGATGACAGGTTGGCCATGAGCCAGCAGTGTGCCCTTGTGGCCAAAAAGGCCAACGGCATTCTGCAGTGCATTAAAAAGAGCACAGCCAGCAGGTCGAGAGAGGTGACCCTCACCCTCTACCCTGCCCTGGTAAGGCCTCATCTGGAGTTCTGTGTCCAGTTCTGGGCTCCCCAGTACAAAAAGACAGGAATCTCTTGGAAAGAGTCCAGCAGAGGACCACAAAGATGGTGAAGGGCCTGGAGCATCTCCCCTATGAAGAAAGGCTGAGTGAACTGGGTCTGTTCAGCCTTGAGAAAAGATGACTGAGAGGGGACCTGATCTAGGTCTCTAAATACCCAAGGTGTGGGGAGGCAGAGTGGCAAGCCCATACTCTTCAGTAGCACGTGGAAACAGGACAAGGGGAAACAGCCAGAAGCTGCAGCATAGGAAGCTCCACACAAATGTGCACAAGAACTTCTTTATGGTGAGGGTGATGGAGCAGTGGAACAGGCTGCCCAGGGAGTTGTGGAGTCTCCTTCTCTGGAGATATTCATGACCCACCTGGACACCTACTTGTGCAACCTGGTATAGGGAACCTGCTTTGGCATGGGGGTTGGACTCAATGATCTCTAGAGGTGTCTTCCAACTCCTACAACTCTATGAAAATCATGGATGAAAGCTGTGCATTTGCATTCTCCTCACCAACTTAACTAGAGTTCACAGCACTTTTGTCTGTCCTTTGTGGATGAAGGCAAGTTCAGAAGGCAAGTAGCAGAACTACTCAGAAATTTGCAGTGGTCACCTGCCATGATTAGTATTATCTTCTCAAATTTGTTTAAAATTATCTTATTTTTAACATAGTGTGTACTTTTATCATGAGGAAAGTGTGTTGACTTGAACAGAGTGTCAGGCCAATAATTAATAAACTAAACAAGAACAGAGAAACAGCCTTCTGTAACTAAGCTGCTCCAGAAAGTACAGGCAGGTTGATGATTTAATTAAGGAGGACAGAACACAGCCAATAGTAATGATCTTCGCTGTCAATGATGCAGTGCATTCATTGCAGTTTAGCCTTTCAAATTTTTTTTATTATTATTATTTTTTTTTTAATCTGAAATCCTGCAGAGCATACATTTAAGTAAATGGTTTATTCATAACTACACATTTTGAAAAGAGCTGTTAATGAGCTAAAGAACAGGTATTTGGAGTCTGGTTTTATTTTTGTCATACCTACTTTAATATCTGGATATACATCACCTGTGTTAAGACTTATCACAGAACACCTGAGGCTTCCAGGAAAGACAAAAAACATTTCCTTCTGGAGCACTTACAAGTATGCATGCATACACACATTTATGTATATAAATATATTGTTGTTATCATTAAAGATATTGAAACAACCATTAAATATTAGTTTGGACTCTAAGGTAAATATTTTCCTGTTTTCCACTGCCTCTCATCTTCTTTTACATTTCAACTATCTATTTGGAGCTGTTTGAAGAACACAGGCAAAATATGCTTCTCATTTTGCAAGGAAATAGTCCTACAGCCAAATACTTCCAACATCAAACAGTCTTTCCTGGTATTCATTCAAAAGCATGCATTTCCCAACAGTCTTACTTCTAGTAACTTTTAGTGACTGTCTCATCACAGAAATTTCCAATACTAAGTTAAAGGGAAATCCACCAAGTTGCTTTTAGTTTGTTTTTGTCCTACCATCTTCTTTTAACCATACACCATGAGGGTATCTTAAGCACCCTAAGATACTTAAGTGTTGGAAAATGGTGGAAGGATTTAGCCTTCACTCAGTACCTCTCTGAAACTGGTGTAGGCTATACTGTCTTTAAAAATATCTTCCTTATCTCCATCTCTTCAGAGACTCATTACAGCTTTCTGTGGCACAAGGACATTGCAGGGGGAAGCTGTACCATTTCTGAACTAAATTACTGCAAATCACTCAAACTGTGTCAAAAGGTGAAAATAACACAGACATGCTCAATCTTTTTCTCATTGGCTTAAGCCCTGAGAGCACAGCAGGAACATCAAGCTGTATTTTGGTGCCTCATTCACTTTTAAGGTCTTAGTCTTAACTTTCAAGTAAGATGATGGATCTAATCCCAGCTGCATGAAAAATTACAGCCCAGCACCCAGCTGTGCTCCTTTGGTGTAATGGATACCAAAGAGGTCTGAATGGATGGAATAAGAGCTGATGATGCTGCATCACCAGCTGATGGGATCTGGAATAAGTATAGCAGACATACAGAATATCACCCCCTTTGGGAAAAAATAAGAAAAAGATTTTCAAAGCTATTATTTTCACACTTCCCAAAATAAATAAAATGGCATGCACATGTCCAGACACACCTGGGTTTCATTTGAGCTAATGGAAATAGAAGTCCCAGAGGTTCTGCAGAGATCCAGTAGGAAATGCACCAAGCCTTGGCCTCTGGTGGCCAGCAGCTTCAGTCTCAGATTTGGCACCTCATCTTCCATCACATTGTCTTCAAAACATCACTAATGCTCACACTCCCTCTAGGTGGAATATTCACACCTGACTCCCAAATCAGACATCTGTTCTCACCCTCCTGCACACATCTGCACCACAGCAATGCAGTAACAATAACTCCTCAGAATGCAGAAGCTTGAAGATGAATTTCAGACCAAGCAGAAAGTGAATAAATTTATGTTCAAATTGATTTAAAAAAAAAAAAAAAGTTTGTATTCTCTCCTCTCATTTTAACCAGTTGCTGTTTTCTTTTACAAGTATTTGATGGAGGGGTCACAACATTTTATTACATAAGCTGGTTCTGCAGAGCTCTCTGCCATAATATACAGATGATGACTTCCATGTCAGATGCCATTTTATTTCGCACTGCACTTCTGCTGCCATCTGTCACACAGCAACAAAATGTAATGGGATATTGGTGGAAAGGTTTGACCTCTACTGCCATACCACCAACTTCTTCCTCTGAAGTCATGGGCCAACATAATAAAATAGGAGGTGTTACTTTC